CCTTCTTAAAAATTTTATCTATTTCTTTGAGAGAAAGAGAGCGGAGCACACATAGAGGCAGGGGCGAGAGGGGCAGAGGGAGAGGCAGAAACAGACTCCCTGCTGAGCCCGATGTGGGGCACCATCCCAGCACCCTGAGGTCATGACCTGACCTGAAGGCAGCCGCCCAACTGACTGAGCCAACCAGGTGCCCTAATATTCCCTTTTTTGTTGTTAGTTTCTACCTTCTTACCTATTTTATCCACTTCTTGCCCCTCACCTTGGCAAATCATGTATATGTTCTCTGTATCTATGAGTGAGAGTTACTGTGTTTTTTGTTTTCTGGTTTGCTTTAGATTCCACATATATGTGAACTCGTGGTATTTGTCTTTCTCTTTCTGATTTATTTCACTTAGTACGTCCCCGTGGCTGTTACGAATTATGTGGCAATGAATGCAGGTGCGCACGTATCTTTATGAGTTAGCGATTTCAGTTTCCTTGATTTTAACTCCTAGGAGGGGAATTGTTGGATGATATGGTTATCCTATTTTGAAATTAGTTTCCCTGAAGTAATCTGTATCCCCGACGTGAGTCTCGAACTCACGGCCCGCAATCAAGAGTGACACACTCTTCTGACTGAGCCAGCCAGGAGCCCCTCACATTGAATTTTTTGAGAAAACTTGATACCATTTTCCATAGTGGCTGCACCCATTGACAATCACAACAACAGAGCTTTCCTCCACATTTTGGTCGACCCGTGTTATTTCTGGTCTTTTTACCACTAGCATTTCTGACGGGTGTCAGGTGCCATCTCTTTGGGTTTTGATTTGCATTTCCCTGGTGACACATGGTGTTGAACCTCTCTTTATGTATTTGTTCGCCATCTGCGTGTTTTCTTTGGGAAAATGTCTATTCTGAACTCTGCCAATTTTGTAACTTCTATTTGTTTTTGTGTTATTGAGTTGTATGAGTCTCTAATAATTTGGATATTAAGCCTTTATCAGTTAGGCAGTTTGCAAATATTTTCTCCCATTCAGTATGTTGTCTTTTCACTGCATTGATAATCAGTGACCATCACCAGTGTCTGCAGTTGGCCCTGCCTGTTCTTCTAGGTCACAGTGCCCTACATGCTGAAAGCAGACCCCAACTACAAAACACATTCTTCTCTAGCCTGGCCATACGCCACATCTGGGTCAGAGCACCTCGAAAACCTGTCACCTGCTGCTCTACCTGGCCAAGAATCAGACCCTCCCCTCACCCCCATGGAGGAGGCTGCAACCCTCTCACGACCTTCAACACCCCTCAAAAGGCCCAGCCTGACAGAAACTCGGGGCTCACATGTCTCTTGGTGTCTGGCCCCTCTCTTCCCGGGGAGAGTGAACCCACTCTGTCCTGCTTGTGGCTCTACTCTTTGTGAAATTCCTTTATTTAAATTTATTCTTATTTATTTTTAATTTTTTAAAAAATATTTTATTTTTTTATTTGACAGAGAGTGAGATAGTGAGAGCAGGAACACAAGCAGGGGGAGTGGGAGAGGGGGAAGCAGGCTTCCCGCTGAGTAGGGAGCCCGAAGCAGGGCTCCATCCCAGGACCCTGGGATCATGACCTGAGCCAAAGGCAGACACTTAATGACTCAGCCACCCAGGTGCCCCTCTTTGTGCAATTCTTTGCCACCCGCGGCCCCGGCCACCCTGACCCTAACATCAGAATACATTACATCTTCCAAAATTAGAGAAAAATGATGCTGGTCGTTAAGTCTGTTTAGAGTTTATTCTTTTCTCTTAATCCCCACTTGATCCCTACGGGGGTCTTCATGACTTCCTGCATAAGCATCCAAGAGCTTCCCCAGGGTCTGGCCTTTCCATGCCATAGTTCCTCCTGCATCACCTGGCTCCACCCACGGCTCCTCCTCCTGCCCTCCACCCCTCCTAAGGACCCTGGTGGTCCTGCTTGTCATTCCCACAAGACCTCCCTCCGTCTAGCAGGCAGTGCTCTCAACACTGCCCCCCAGAGCCCACGTCCTGTAACTTTGCCCTGTAACTGCCCCTTGGGGGTAAATCAATACTTCCTGCTCTAGAAAGCCCTGCCTTACCTGCAGAACTGGGGCAGTGACTCTCCACCCAGTCTTTTCCACTGTGCCCACGCAGAAGCCTTGAGCCCCCAGCAGGGGTCCGCAGCACACTGTCCTGGTTGCGAGGGGTAGCTCAGCTTTCACCGCCTGGGCCGAGGCTGTGAGGCACACTGTCCAAGCCCTCAACTCTTGAAACTTCACTTTTCTCACCTACAAAATGGAGAAATCAATGTCTATGTCATAAGAATGGATGCCACTAAAATAGAACAATCTGTGTGACTCAGTGAGAATAGTATGCCTGGTCCACATAAATAATAAAATAAAGCAACTTGAATCAAACCAGAGTGTAGATCAGATGAGCCTGGGTTCAAGCCTCCACACAGCCAGTAGTCACACATCCGCAGGCCAGTTTCTGAACTTTCGTACGTCTCAATTTCCTCACTGAAAAATGGGTGGAGGTGTGATAATCCACTTATTCCTCTATTCATAAGAACACCAACAGATTGTGTGGTACCATGCATCAGGCCCTAGGCCACAAGGTAGGAATGCAAGGACAAGAAAGGAGCACTCCCAGCCCTGGGGGCACAGAGCCACCTAGAACACAGACCGCAGAATCACAGTCCTGGCTAAACACTGGAGTCCCCTGAGCAGCGTCAACAGTCCTGATGCTGGGCTCTACCCAGGGATTCTGAGCAGGAGGCCTTGAGGTGTGGCTTTAGGAGGGATTCAGAGCTTCCCCTCAGACCCCAATAGGCAGTACACATTGAAAACTACTGCCTTCGCACTCTCAGAGAATTCCTTTACACCTGATTTGTTGCAGAACATTTCCCCCAGAGCTTGTTTGAAGTACTGAGGACACAGAGGTGGGGTGGTCTTAAGTCCTGGGACAGGGTGTCCCACTTCCCACACACCTTGTGTCAGCTCAAAGGGAGTCAGGAGCTCCACTGGAGGTCTGGTGGGTGGCTTGGCTCCAATCTTATCTGTTTACAGCTGATAACAAGGAAGAACCTTCCCCAGAGCCAGGGATCAGCTGCCCCACACCAGGCTTGCAGCCCTTCTCAGGCAGCTGCTTCCAGCTGGGCCTTGCTCACCAAGGGAACCTGGGCTTCTCTGCCCTGAAATGCAAAGCACTTTTGACAATACCTGTGGGTAAATAAGAGCACGTGACAGCCCTTTCCCTTCCTGGAGCTGCCTTAGGCAAATAGCCAGAGACAGGACATTCCATCCCTCTTTCTGGCTTCTCAATCCTGTCTTGCTGGCAAGACATTTCCTTTGCTTTTCCTACAGGTTCCTTGTAAAGTGTATATTTTCAGAACCTTATTTGACACAGAAGTTATCATGATTTCTGAGATTTGGTTTCAAAGACTCCAGAAAAAAAAAAAAATGGGGGGTGGGTGCTGAATAAATGAGATTGGCAAAGGTTGACACTTAATCTCTGAACCCCAGTTCAGTGAATCATTATCCTGCTTCTTGGGTATATTCAAAAGCGACCACAAACAAAATATAATGAAAGGTAGTATGGGAGGAAATACAATATGGGATACTACTCTTAGAACGTGAATGTCATAAGAATGGTTTGAATTCGTTCGATATTATCATGTAAACTGAAGTTTCAAAATTTCTTATTCAAAGAAGTATAGCCCTTTAGACTACACATGGTTTTATTTTAGCGTACAACCCATTTTGCTCAAAAGAGTTTCTCTTGATTTAGAGTCATATACTTTTATATATAACTAAACTATGCAGCGAACAAGTAATAAGCATTAGGTTCAAAGGTATTTGCCATGCCTGCAATCACAGATGCTTGCCCGAAGGTGTGAGGGGTCCTCCTCCAGAGGGTTTGCCTAGCCAGGTCTCCTGGTCCCGCCGGGGTCCTGGCAGCTCACAGAACTAGTCCTTGGGAGGCCCACAGGAGCCAGGCTCACCAATTCCCTTGGCTCTATTGCTTTATTTATCAGCCTCTGGAGTAAATCTCACATTTAAAGGTTTTGAAAATTAAATCAGTATCAAAGACTATTTCATCCTTGGAGGAAGCAGGCTATTTCTAGAAAGCTGTTTTTATATTAAAATCGCAGGATGATTTGCCCCAGAGTGGCAAAGCATCCTCTTCAGTGATGATAAAAGGGCCCAAGGCCTGATTTTGGCAATCACTCCCTTCTTGGATCCAGAGCTTAACATCAGACAGTGAGTGGGGAGTGCCCTCCCAACTCCGTGGTCTTCACACACTGAGCACCCTGTAGGCTTCTTCTCATAAAATTACCTATTGTTTGAAGATCTAACTGCCACAGGGACTTAAACTAAGCCTCCCTTGCCTCTCCTTTTACATGGGGGATCATAAAAACACTGCCCCAGAGGCATACTGTATTAAATGGGTAACGTATATGACACAGTCACCACTGTGCTGGGCAGAGAGAAAAGGCTCAGTCTGTGGAAGGATCGATACATCCTCAGAAATCATTCCTGGGGAAATGTCTCCCTTTATATTCATGCTCCCCAGTCAAGACTTTTGGGACCCATGTCCCACCCAAGGGCTCCCTTCTCTAGCTGGGCCCTCACCACCATACAAGGGTATGCAGTATAAAATTTCCATTTTCCTGTGAAAACTTTTCTTGTTGGGATTTTAATTGTGTTTTGTGTTTTGTTTTGTTTTTTTTTCGGTGAGGGAAAGGCTTGTTGCCTTAGCCACGACATCAGGGATTGACTACTCCTGTTGCTGTCAGCCCTGTTGACACCACTGAGGGGAGAATCAGCCCAAGTCTCCAGCCCTCACCCCACCCCCACCAGGGCTCACTGAGGGGACAGTCCTGGAGGCTCAGCATGGGCCCTGCCTGTCACAGCAGCTCACTGCCTAATGGGCTTCCACAGCAGAACGCAGAGATCTCACTGCTCTTTCTCACGGCCTGGAGAAGAAGAGGAAAGATCTGTTTCTTCTTTCCTTACCCATCTTATGTCCTAATGCAGTTATTCCACGACCTGGAGTAAAGATCCCTTCAAATACAAAACCCGGTAAGACTCGACTTCCTTGGAAACAGAGCTACACTTCCTTGGAAATTGATCTTCAATGTACTGGAGAGAGAAAGAGACGCTTATACCAGACCTGTCAGTGGGAAAGGACCCGGAGACACCCTGTTAGGTAAGGACACACATCATCCAGGTCTCAGGGCCAAGAGGGGCATCCAAAAGCCTCCAGAATAAATAAACTGCAGTGCATGCAGAAATGTTCCTTCTCATTAAGGGACGTGCACACTCCCTTGGTCTCAAAATCTAAGTCACAACAACATTAATTAAGTTACATCTACAAGTTACAAAATGATGGCGTAATATTTATTATACATTACATATTGAATATACTTATGTTTATATATGATTGCTTTACATTTTAAGCATATGTACATTTCTACTTTTAATATTTTAAACTTCAATAACTTTCTTTAAACATTCTAGGCTTCTGTTTTTTGTCAGTTTGGCATTACACGTCACCCCCTTGGGAGACAACCGTAAGAAACATTTTATTTATACTCCCTTTTTATTGTATATTTATTGTTTAGTCATCATCAGTCTCATACTTTCAATGTTTTCAAAGGGTCATCACGGAAACATTAAGGGTAACAGAGAAGAAATCAACCATGCTACAGCCCAGAAGCTCCAGCAGAAAACACTCAACTGGACCCTCAAGAACTCTGGGGAGGGGAATGGGAGCATGGATGGCTGGCGGCCCCAGGACTCAAGTCCCTACCTCAGGGCTTTCCAAGGTGGTAAGTCGCCTTGTCCCCCAAGTAGCTTTGTGGTCATCTCCGTCACTGGTCTCCCAGTTTAGGATCTGAGAGCAGCCTGGAATACATTAAGCATAAAATGAAAACCCCAACAGAGCTCATTTTATCATCTTCACATGATGAGGTACTATAAAGCGAAAACTGTGTCCGAGCGACGTGCTCCTCTGAAGTGAAAACAAGTCGTGCCCTTTCATGGGTACAATGTTGCATTTGCACACAGGCCTAGAGGAGTGTGATGGAAACATATCCCAAGCAACTATCCCACTCCGAGCGCAAAGCGCACCTTGTTCGGCTTATTGCAGACCCTCCGGCTCCAGACCCCAGGCGATGATGTCCCTCTGGGGGGGACAAGGGGTTGGGGGGGTTTCTGTCGTCATCGAAAGCTGTGGGCGGTCCCCGCCCTGAAGGCCTGGTTTTAATCACTGTCCAGGCAAGTCACAGCCTGACTTTAACATAGGAAAGGAAGGAAGAGGGAAAATGCTCCTTGCTGGGGCCAGGGTTTCTCCTTGGGTCCCGAGCCGGTTCCTGACCCTCCAGGACCCCTGGCAGTTCGTTTTGAATCCTTAAGTTGACAAGCAGGGTTTACCTGAGCAAACACACATGGGCCTGGAGGTGAAGCTTCCTGCCTCTCGGGGCAGGCTCATGAGGCGCTCTCGGGGGCGTCACCGCGAAGGGCCAGGAGGCAGCGGACGCCAGCACCCAGGTGTCCCCCCAGCAGGCGCGCCCCCGCCGCTGCGCGGCTGCAGGAAGGGCGGCACCTGCGCCCTGGGCACCTGCTGCGTAGGCCCCGCCCACCGCGCCGGCCGTTACTGCGAGCACGACCGGAGGCAGAGGTGTGTGCCTGCGGGAGCGGGCTGAGCGTTGGGCGGGGGGAGCAGCGGGGCTTGACCTTGCGGAGGGGAGCGGGCGCGGGCGGAGGGCGCGGGGTAGGGGTTGGGGGCGTGGAGGGGCGTGCAGCGGCGGGGCGGGGCGTGGAGGGGCGCGGACACGAAGGGCGGGGCGTGGAGGGGCGCGGACACGAAGGGCGGGGCGTGGAGGGGCGTACAGGGGCGGGGCCGGGCGTGGAGGGGCGGGGCGGGGCGTGGAGGGGCGCGGACACAAAGGGCGGGGCGTGGAGGGGAGCGGGTAGCGCATGCGCGCCCACCCATCCCGCTGATGCTGCCTCTGTCTGGGGGCCGGGTGGGGCGGGGCTTGAGGGGCGCCGGTAGCGCATGCGCGCGACCCCGCTGATGCTGCCTCTCTGTCTGGGGGCCGGGCGGGGCGGGGCGTGGAGGGGCCTGGAGGGGCGGGGCGGGGCGTGGAGGGGCGCGGGATAGCAGTTGGTGGCGTGGAGGGGCGTGGAGGGGCGTGGAGGGGCGGGGCGTGGAGGAGCGCGGACACGAAGGGCTGGGGCCGGGCGGGGTGTGGAGGGTCGGGGCGGGCGTGGAGGGGCGCGGACACAAAGGGCGGGGCGTGGAGGCGCGCGGGTAGCGCAAGCGCGCCCACTCCGCTGATGCCGCCTCTCTGTCTGGGGGCCGGGCGGGGCGGGGCGTGGAGGGGCGTGGACACGAAGGGCTGGGGGCCGGGCGGGGTGTGGAGGTGCGGGGCGGGGCGTGGAGGGGCGCGGGGAAAAGGGCGGGGCGTAGGGGGGCGTAGAGGGGCGGGGCCGGGCGTGGAGGGGCGGGGCGGGGCATGGAGGGGCGCGGACAGGAAGGGCGGGGCGTGGAGGGGCGCGGGTAGCGCATGCGCGCCGACCCCGCTGGTGCCGCCTTTCTGTCTGGGGGCCGGGCGGGGCGTGCAGCCGCGGGGCGGGGCGTGCAGGGGCGCGGCCACCAAGGGCGGGGCGAACAGGGGCGGGGCGGGCCGTGGAGGGGCGCGGCGGGGCGTGCAGGGGCGCGGGCACAAAGGGCGGGGCGTGGAGGGGGCGGGTAGCGCATGCGCGCAGACCCCGCTGATGCTGCCTCTCAGTCTGGGGGCCTGGCGGGTCGGGTCGTGGAGGGGCGTGGAGGGGCGCGGGCACAAAGGGCGGGGCGTGGAGGGGCGTGGAGGGGGGTGGAGGGGCGGGGCGGGACGTGGAGGGGCGCGGACACGAAGGGCGGGGCGCGGAGGGGCGCGGGTAGCGCATGCGCGCCCACCCCGCTGGTGCCGCCTCTCTGTCCACTCAGGGAACGCGGCGCCCTGATACCCGGAGCCTGGACCTGCCGCCGCTGCCGCCTTTGCAGGTGTGTGTTCGCAGCTCTGCACTGTCTCCCCCGGCAGACGCCGGGCAGCTGCGGTAAGAGGAGCGCGTCCTGTGCGCACAGTCCCCGCTCGCAGGGCATTGCTCCTTGGTGCCCTCCAATCCGCAGAGGTGTAGCTGGGCCAGGCGACACGGAAATGAGAAGCGGGGTTGATCGATCACTTAGGAAAGTCACACTGGTTGGGAATCACATAGCATATTATCATTATTATTTAAGGTGGTTCCTAGGTTTACTCTGCCCCGACTGCTGCGTTTAAGTGTGTTTTCCAAACGGTGTCCTTGGAGGGCGCAGACTTGGGGGAGCTCAGCAGCTGGTAAGCAGAGCCAAGCCTGGCAGAGAGGTTGCCCACGCGATCTCCAGTGACTGCCCTACACCGCGCCAACACCGTCTCCTTAACTTTGAAATGAGGAGGGCACCGGAGCAGGACGGGGACAGGCGTGGATGGCCAGGCGCCGCCCTTTAGAGCCACCCAGGCAGTGCTCCCAGAGAAGGAAGGCACCTGGTAACCACCCTCAGACCTGCCAGGCATAGGAAAAGCCAGGGGGTGTGGAGAGCACATGGGGTGAACACTCATCTGTGAGAATTCTGAGCAGGGAGCAAACTCAAGGCACATGTTTCCCTTGTTAAACTCAGGAACACGAATTTCCTGGGTCAGAAAACAGACTTAGGAAAAGGAGGCACAGCATTTCCATCCCACATCCTGCGCCCTCTCCCGTCTTCCGCACGCTCTGCCTGGACTCCAGTGAGAAGCACAGTGAATGAAAGCACACCCCTTCAGCCTCTTCATCAGCCCTGGGGGCCTTGGCTGTGCAGGGAGCAGTCAAAGCTCCCAGACCCCCTTTTCTGTTCCTCCGTCCACCTCTTCGACTCTGGCCAAATCCCACAGTTGAAGGGGATTTACTTCCTCATATCACAGCCCTTCAGCAGCACTCCCCACCCCTCTGTCCACTGTCAGGACTGCAGGGGAGGGGCGGCACCAGGGGGGTGGACCCTCCAAACCAGCGTCCTGCCCCTGCCTTCCTGGTGGGCCCAGGAGTGCAGGAGTGCACTTAAGGACTGCTCAGCTTCCAGCCCACCTTCCTGCCCCTCCCTCTCTGTGCTGCAACCTTGGGGAGGATGAGCTGTCAAGAGAGGCTGAATGAAGGTACAGCCCATCAGATATTACATCAAAGAGAACATGCAGATGGAAAATTAGCACAAGAAAACATGGACAAACTCACTCGCCATGAGGGAAATGCAAATGAAAACCTGAGAGTTATCATGACTACCCACCTGTTAGGACAGCTGGTTAATATAAAATACAGTACTACATTTCGGGTGGGAATGTAAATGGAAGAGCAACGCTGGTAGGACAGTTTGATAGGTTCTATAGAAGTGAAACATAAACCCTATGACCTAGCAAGCACTCTCCTGGACCTTCATCCCAGAAATGAAAATTTAAGATCCCATGACTCACTCTGCACAATGGTTCACTGCAGTTTTATTTGTAAAAGACGAAAGACTAGAAAGAAACAAAGGGGTGAAGAGTGCCCCTGTGAAGGGACGTTTCTGAACTATGGCAGCTTTCTGTGAATCTGTAAATCGACCCCTCTACCTCCCTACCTCTCTGTAGCAGGTGCTCCACCTGTCAGCACACCTCAGAATAGTCCCTAAGACTAGCAGTGCCACCCTGGCTCTCTGGATCTCCAAGTATCCCTAACAGCCCCAGAACCCTAAGATGTGGGTGTCAGGCAGTAGTGAAAGAAGCAGGAGGGGTCTGGGGCTGGTCTGTTACTGGGCAGGTGCTGGGCTGTGATGCCCTGTGACCCTCAGGGGCAGAAAAGGCCAGGTGTGGGACAGAGACAGCACGCAGAATGTTGTCCTCCCAGAGCTGATGTTTTGCCTTGGGAGAGGAAAGGCCGGCACAAGGACCTGGCTCAGAGTCTCCTCCCCTTCGTCTCTCCCTCCCTTTGGCTGCATCTATCCCCTGTCCTTGAGGATCACCTCCCCAACCCCACCATCTCTGGCCTCCTGCTAAAAAACCACCACCCCAACCAAGTTGCCCCCATTTTAGTGATGAGGGAAAGGGGATTCAAGAGGCGAGCCACTCTGGGGTACCAGCCACCCAGGAGCCTGATGTTTGTGGAAACCAGGTTATATTGAGCAGGGTGTGAGCAGCTAAGCACAGGAAGTTCCAAGTGCTGGGATCACAGAAGCGACCCATATCCCACTTACATCGAAGTGACCTGGACTTACATCGAAGTGACCTGGACTCCACCAGCCTCCACACTGGCTCCTGAAAGCAGCGCTGTCAAATTAGCTCAGACACCATCCATCTTAGAAGTCAAGCCTCCCACTTCCTAAGGCCCCCTGATGTTCACTTCCCAACCCCAGAAGGAGCTTCTGCATGGCTCCATCCATTTATGCCCAGCTGCTATGAGCACACTGCCTTGACTGAGCTCAGCCCAGGGGCCACAGCTCTAGGCTCTTCCCATGCAACTTCAGCAGGAGCCACAGGTGGGCCCCAGCTCACAGGGATTTGCAACTCACCTGAGCTTCCAGCCCACATCCCTGGAGCTAAGAAGGAACAACATTTCTCAGGATGGGCCATCCTAGAATCTCACCTTCCTACTCCCTTCTGACCCCCAGTGTCCACTTTATCATAGAACCTCGGCTCTGCCTCTTGCAAGGGGTCCCTTTCCTTCATACACAAGCAGACCCTACAGTCTGCAAGGTGCACCTATTCCCACCTCTCTCGCACTGTGCCTTACTCTGCAAACAGCCAGGCACCTAAAGCACCCAATCTGAATCCCGCATGTCTCCCCCAATTCCTGCGGTGTTTCTTTGGACAGAACAGAGCCCACCATCCTGGCCCCTCACACCACTCTGCCTACCGTCCAGACCCCACACCTTCTCACCGAGAGACAGGGAATGGTCCCATGCCTCTGGACTCCCTCACCCTGGTTCCCTGGCCTTGTAACATTTGCTCTTCAAAGGCCTGTATCACACAGGAACCTGTTGCGGAGAAACACCTGCTGCCATGGCCACAGTTTGAAGTGAAAACATCAGTGTCCAACCTCAAGTTTAGCAACAATGTGCTGGGAGGTCTCAGCCAGAAATGCTTTATGCAGAAATACCTGGATATAGACACACTGCTTCTCCTTTTCTTCCAATAAGAACGGTGCTGACCTCAACAGCTGTGCTTGAGATCCAGAAATAAGTATGTCTGAATGTTTTGAGGAGGCAGGCAGGTTATGCTGTGTCAGCTGGGCATGATTCACCGACACTTTCTCAGAGCCATGGAGACCCCTGCCCAGCATCAGGAGAATGTTATGACTCATAAGGGACAGGAGTGCCTGCAAGCCAGGCTGCACATTACAATCCCCCAAGGATGGTTCTCATAAATTACTCATTCAGAAATGATTGTTTTTTAATTGTTTTTTTAAAAATAACTATTTTTATTATTAATTAAAGTAATATTCACATTTGTACCAACCCCCAATCCTGGACATGACCACACTTTTCCCAGCTCCCCTTCTATGCTATCCTGGGTGGGTGCACAGGCGTCACACTCTGTAAGGCAGAAACTTCCAGGAAGACTTTCATTTGCATGAAGAACCTCTCCACCTCATGGAGCTGTGCCTGCCTCTCACTGCAC